CAAACAACACTAAACAATTATCTCTTACCTAAACAAGCTAATTTAATTATTGCAAAGGCTCATCATCATCTAGCATAGGTTGATGTAGCTGAAGTTTTACGTACAGATACTAAAGAACATCTTGATGGTTACTATTGTCTTGCATCTGTTTAAATATATAAAGCAATTTGTCTCTATGTTTACTGATGCGTCTATTATTATTTCCCAAGATAATAAAGCAAAAATAGATCTTGGAGTGCCTGTAATAGGTTAAACAAGTGGGATATCATGCTTTAATATAATTATATTAAAGCGTGGTATCCCACTTGGACTAGGTTATGTTACCACGCTATAATCTGAATATCACGTTATAATCTAAATACCACACTATAATCTAATAGTTATAACCTAGTTACCACGCTTTAATCTAAATACATGACCTAATTACCATACTTTAACCTACCTTTTTTCTTTTGATGTTATCTATTTTCATATTCTAGTTATTTATTTAAATCTTTCTTGCTATTTGTAACTCGCACCTCTTATGGTCATATATATTTTTATACTATTACAGAGATCCGGAGGTAAATGAGTATATAATGCTAGTAATACCTGATCATCCGCAAAACTTACTATATGTTTTCGAACTCTAGATTCATAAACATCAGGAGAATCTGTTGGGTTAAACCTTTCTTGTATCAGTGACTGTAAAGCTAATTCTGCATTTCCAGCCATTACTTCTCGATATTTGTGTCGAAGCTAAACAGTAAATATAGCAGGTGTGTTGATAGCAGGAGTACCAGCTGTATAGGAATTATTTGCCAGTACTGGAGAAAATTTATCTCCCATTTTAGATTTTAAGATATCACATTTCTGAACATCAACAAAAGTGTTTGCATTAGCATTATTGGCAACCGTGATTACAGCTCCAGCAGATTCAAAAATATTTGTAATTTTCTGTATATACTCATCTGGTGTCTCTTTACCTATATAGTTAGGAATTTGCCCAAGAGCGGGAGCTAACGTCTGATAAATTTCATGAACAGCGGCCATATGTTGTATATTAGGTGGGTTATTCTGAAACGCCAAAATTTGTCCCTGCAAATTTAAAATATTCTGATCACGAGCCTGAACTTGATTCTGCGAATTCCTATATTGTTCCTTCCAATTTTGCGCCTAGCGAACGCAACCTATATGCTTTCTCTTTCATTTTTCATCATCATTATTATAGCGTACAGTTATTCTGTGAGCATTTCTTCTATGTTCAGCAATTTGAGTATCCTTACGTTGAATTAATAATCGTAGAATGAAATTTTCACGTAATAATCCACCAATTTGCTCCTTTCTATCTTGAGCTAATTGCCAATTTTCTCTAAGGCTCCAATAAGTATTTTTATACGTCTGCTCAGATCTTTGCATTTGAGCTCTGGATTCTTCTAGCAACCGTTCAGACCGGAAGAACTGATTTCTGGTATCATGTAACTCATTCCTAAGATCTTCTATCCACCCATTTTCATCATTTAATAAATTCTGGTATTGATCCCGCTCAGCTGTAATGTTTTGCAAAATAACTCGAATAGTATTTAATGAGCCTCTAATACCATCTATAATATTGGCGGGATTTGTCAGTGATGTACCAGCACCTCTAATGTGATTTTTAATTCGATCAAGTCCTCTATTAACGTTTACAATAAGATCAGCTGTTGCCATATCTAAAGCATTTATTGAGATTTTTTTATCTATGAGAATCTGGATTTTTGCTTTAAGATTCCCAACCTTATTTTCGAGCTCTATGATTCGGCCATCTTAAATAGACCCAACCTCATTTTTGAATTTTTTATCCTATTGTAAAACCCTAAGCTGTTTTCGCAAATCAGATATTTCTGATTTAAGTTCTTCTATCTCATTCTCATATACTATGATAGTCTTATCCTGAAACGAGATAGTTCGATAACATTGCTCTAGCTCCTTTACGAGAGCGTGAATTTTTTTCTCATTACTTTCATTATTGGAAATCTCATCTTGAAGCTCACTATGAAGCTCCTAGTTCATATCTAAAATCTGTGAATATGCCAGATCAGATGTTGACATGAATATTATTCAGTCCTGATTTATAGAACTATCATATAATCGTGTTTTAAGAATGAGTCAACCGCAGATTGTAATAAATCCCGATGAAGAGCTTCGTATAGTCTGTAGACTTTTGTTTTATAATATACCTGAGTTTTATCCCAATGCTAAAAAATTACATAGAGAATGTCAGCAGAAAGGATACTCTTTTTGACTAAAAGATATTGCAAAGTGGTTAGTGTATCAATATATCCATCAAATTTATCAACAACCACTACCATGTAAAGCTGAAGCAAGTTTTTCGAAGATTAAGATTCCAAACAAGGTTCAGCAGTGTGACATTCTGCTTCACACTCA